GCCACAGCGCCCCTACAGCTCGAGAAAGGCATGTCACCCCCCCAACCTGTCACCGACGTGTCTGTGAAGACTGACACGTGTGACGTGGGTCTGCTGACGGGGACTCCCTCCGACAAAACCAGGGGGGTTCTCAGTGTCGGAGATCTGTTCTCATGGAGGAAGGAACAGTGATCGTTTGTCTCTTTTGCCTCACCAGATCCATGCACAGACGAGCAAACCATCTCTGGAGGCATCTCATGTGTAGTAAACCCAGCAGGGCCACTGTGTGAGCTGACAACATCGTTCCTAACAGCTTTATGATGGAAAATAGCTGTTACTACTCTGCCAGGTCTTATGTGGCAGAGCTGGACTCTTAGAGAGTCGATTCTCATCTGTGATTAACAAATAAACGAGACATCATGGTGGTCGAGTTTAGCCCCACTCCCAGATAACAATCGTTTGGGCCGGGAGAATTGAGCTTTTCCCAATTTTATGGCGAAGCCCAGAATTAGCAGGTGTGACGTCAACACCTGAGCCTATGCCGACATGTGAAGCGGTCTGCCCACGATCACCTTGTTGAAAAACTGACAGGTCCAAATCGGTCTCGTTTCTCCGGTCCGTTTGGAACCAGGAAGTAACGTGCGTAAAAACCCTGTGTTTTCCTCTCCGTCGGGAACCCCTGGACGTAGTGGAGCGGGGAGACGCTGTGCAGCCGTGGAACATCTTGAAAATGGTCCCTTGTTGATGGGAGGCCCTCCAACAAAAAAGCTTTCTGCAGCTCCTCCGAGAGGGAGGTGGAGTGACGGGCCAGGTGGACCTCTGGAAAACCTCATCCTCCGGCTGCAATGCGAGACCGGCAGACAACAAAGAGGCGCACAGGTTGAGAATGACGTCAGCTGCCTTGCAGAGGGAGCGCTACATCTCCTCCAGCCTCTTGAACGTTGTACGCCAGCAGCGTAACGTGTTGTTTGCTGGTCAAGCTAGACAACTTTCCTTCTTCGTTCTTCTGACAGTGCTACTAGCTTGCTGAAAAAAAATGGGAGCCGATTACCCGCTCTTAATGTAATTTATAGGGACCGGGTGGGGCCAACACAGCAGGTGGGCGTGGACTAAATTTTTCAGTGCAATGCTTCACATGACGGGAGAAAACCCACTAAGCGACAGCTCTTAAAGGGCCAAGCCTATACGAAATAGAACTTGCAGCTGCAAATGCAGCAAAAGGCTGCGCTACAAAGTATTAACACAAGGGGGCCGAATAATATTGCACGCCCAACTTTTCAGTTTTTTATTTGTTAAAAAATTTTGACACCTCCAATAAATTTCATTCCACTTCAGGATTGTGTCCCATTTGTTGTTGATTCTTCACAAACAATTGAAATTTTATATCTTTATGTTTATGTGTTTATGTTATGCCTGCTGAAATGTGGCAAAAGGTTGAAAAGTTCAAGGGGGCCGGATACTTTCACAAGGCACTGTATATATACACACACATATATATATATATATATATATATATATATATAT